GCTGACACTGCTGGACTCGCCCACGTGAAGTCCGAGCTGCAGAAGAGACACACGTGCACAGACCTGGGTGAACTGCGCAGCTACCTTGGCTTGCAGATCACCCGGGACAGAGCACGCCGCACCATTACCCTGACTCAGTCACACATGGTGCAGCAGGTCCTTCAGCGCTTCGGCTTCACGTACTCCTCGCCTCAGGCCACTCCTCTGCCTACTCGCCACTCGCTCTCAGCTCTGCCTTCGGATGAGTCCGTAGAGTCGAGTGGCCCGTACCCAGAGCTTGTTGGCTGCCTCATGTACCTGATGACCTGCACACGACCTGACCTTGCATACCCTCTTAGCATTCTCGCACGCTATGTTGCTCCTGGGAGACACAGACCGGAGCACATGGCTGCAGCGAAGAGGGTGTTGCGCTACTTGTGCAGTACGTCGGGCATGGGGCTTGTGCTTGGAGGGCAGAGTCCAGTGGTCCTCACTGGGCACGCAGACGCTTCTTGGGCTGACGACCAGGCTACGCAGCGGTCGTCACAGGGTTACACCTTCAGCCTTGGTTCCGGCTCTGTTTCGTGGCGGGCTACCCGCTCGTCTTCTGTTCTCGGCTCCAGTTGTGAGGCTGAGATCTACGCCGGTGCCATGGCTGCACAGGAGCTTCGCTGGCTCACCTACCTGCTGACTGACCTCGGAGAGCCGCCTCGTTCTCCTCCAGTGCTGTACGTAGACAACAAGGCCATGCTGGCCTTGTGTCGAGAGCAGAGACTGGAGCACAGAACGAAGCACATTGCTCTCCGCTACTTCCTTGCTCGTGAGCTACAGCAGCGTGGTCAGCTGCGGCTTGCGTACGTGGCCTCTGAGGCCAACACTGCTGATATCTTGACCAAGGCACTCCCGCCTTTCAGCGCTTCTGTACTCAGCTGGGTCTTGTGCCTACCTTGCCTCACTTGCTCACCCCTTGACCTTGTTTGTACTATTGCATATATATATACACCTGCTCTTGCTTGTCTAGCCTTATATATATATGCAATCCTGCATGTGAACTGGCCTTGTGGCCTTGAACTTGTGCTCGGAATGTGTGGTGACTTTGTGATCCACCCTGAGCTTGCTTTGCTTTGCTTGACTGGTCTTGTGACCCCTTGTTCTCCCCCACTTTGCCTATGGGGGTGTGTCAGATTTATATGACATAGCTACTGTAGGCTATAGTGGGGTAGCACATATGGGGTACAGTTTTCTAGGGTTTGCTTTTGTACCCAACTTTCCCTTGTCAATCCATTCCTCGTTATTTCATAGTTGATCACGCAAATTTCGAGCGCGATTGATATACTGCGTCACCTTCTCGCCGTTTATCATCTGTATATTTGACAGTTGCGTCAAAATTTTACTCTGGTTGACAGTGTCCTTTGCCATGTGAACCCCTTGCAGGTATAACCAAGCTGCTTCAGCAGGAGCGGCACTGGTACGAAAAGAACGAATTCCGAGCTGTTCAGTCGGTGTCAGATTACGAACGAGAACTGTGTATGCAGTCAGCGACGCCGATCGAAAAGTGGCTTGTTGAAGGGGGGACCCGTGAGATGGAAAGGGTGCTGTGCCGTCGTACAGCTGCCAGAACCCCGCGGTCTGAACAAGAAGCTCAAACTCAAAGCTCCAGGTATAAAAGTCTTGACCGTTAAAAGGCATTGTCGTTTTAATTTTCGTTGGATTTGCAGAAGCAGGAATATAATTTCCGGTACCGTCAGCTGATTGTAGCTGATAAAGTGATGGCACCTGTGACCCTTGTTGTGTTTGTTGTCCTTGTCCAGCAGGAACAAAAGAGAAGGAGTTGTTCGACCCGTCACTTCCTTGTGGCATCTGACCATGCTGATAACTGGAGCCATCAATACTCATAGGAGTTGGAAACATCTGGTTAAGTGACAAGACGGCAGCATTAACACGTTGTTGAAGATTTGCTGGCTGGTAAGCACCTTGATATTGATAAGGTCCAGTCGGTACGAAATTGGACTGTTGTCCTGGTTGACTAGAAGAACCAGTGACTGCAGCTGCAGCGTTGTAGCTGCTGTTGCTGCGGCTGCTGTCGATGATGCCGCTGCTGTAGTTGTGTGTACAGACTGATTGCGCAGTGGCATGCCGTACATCGGTTGTTGCTGATATTGTTGTTGTTGTTGTTGCTGCAGATGTAAATTATCAGCAGCTGGAGACGCTGTTGGGCGTGATGGGCTCGTAACAGAAGAGCCGTTGTTGGACCGTGGAGATCCAGACATAGTTGTAGAGTATGTAGTTGGAAGTTTGTAGTATCCTAAGACGCTCGCAATACCATGTTAGAATTTGAAGTGAGTTTGTAGGATCGTACTACTTAGGATGGTAACTTCCAGTTGTGAAAGTCGTAGCGGAAGTCTTATATGAGTTAAGCCAGTTGTGAAGGCTTTGTCTAGACTTAATAAAGTCTATGTAGTGATATGTTTCAGGATCAAAATGTCTCTGAAATCAGATATATTATAAAATGACAAACATACAAAATATATAGCTAGAGTAAAGTACCTGTTCGCCTACTGTACTGTGCTATTCTTATCTTGAAATGGTACGTAACTATTCGCGAAGTCTATAGCTACGTGCTGACGTCATCCTAGGTCGCGTAGCGCTTTGCTGACGTCAGCCTATCGGTATTTTACTGTACTACACGAATTTCCTTGAAGTGCTTTACGTCTCGATATTATCTCAACACATGGTACGGTATTACTGGGTGATTGAATCAAACCAGAGACAAGACAAGGCGGCATTACCAATCCATGCAGGTATTATAAAACCCACTTTTGAGCTGATTCAACACATACCGTCATACCCCGGATATAAGCGCCACCCTCGGATAAGCGCCTGGCGCTTTTAATTGGCGCATGGCGCTTATATCCGCTGCTCGATTTGTCAGAATATGTTGTATTTGTCTAGCCTGCAGTGGGGTACTCAATAGTGAGTACAGCCCAATCTAGGGTTTCCTATATGTACTCAACTGCTTGCTAGTGAAAACCTCTCTTTCTCTCTTTCTCATTCCTAACTTCCTTGGTTTCTAACATGGTATCAGAGCAGGTCGACCCTCACGGGTCGATCCTGTGGATGGGCCCACCCAATGCTTCCGCTGCTGCTACTCTGTCCATCGCGTGCCCGAGGCGCGCACTGCCTGCTTGCCGCGCGCCACGGGCGCGCGGCAATTTTTCTTCCCGCCGCGCGTTTCGAGCGCGCGGCGGTTTTCTGCCTGCCTGCCCGTCGTGCGCCCCGCTGGCGCGCGACGGAGCCCTGCCCGTCGTGCGCCCCGCTGGCGCGCGACGGAGCCCTGCCCGTCGTGCGCCCCGTCGCGCGCGACGGTGCAAAGCCCGTCGTGCGCCCCGTGGTGCGCGACGGTGCACAGCCTGTCGTGCGCCCCGAGACGCGCGGCGGGTTTCGTCGCCTGTCGCGGCGACCTGGGGGGCCCGTTGCGGCCCCGTCCCGGATCTGCCCCGGCCCTGCTCCTGCACTGTCGCAGCCCGGCCCCGACCCTGCCCCGGCCCTGTCCCGGTCCTGCTTCGGCGCGCGGCCCCCCCCCAGGGTCGCCTCGACAGGCGACGGGAGGGGCGACTGCGGGGGGCCACGCGTCGGCCCCTCCTGTCTTCGTCGCGGCCCTGCCCCCCCCCCCCCCCCCCGTACCCTCCCTACCCGCCATCTACGGCCCTACCCTGTGTTAGGGTTTGGGGATGGCGGGTGGGGGGTGGCGGGTGTGAGGCATCACCTGCTCCTCCTCCTCCTCCGTCTCCCACTGCTGCAGCTGTCGCTGAGGGGGGTGGGTGTGTGTGAGTCGACGGAGTGGTGCTAGGGGGTGGAGTGTCAGTGAACCTAGGGGTGCAGCAGGGGGTGTGTGAAAGGGGGGTGAGACAGTTAGAGGGAGATTGGGCGGAGGCAGCTGTCGTGTCGCCAGCAGCGCCAGTAGTCCGGAGGCTACAATCTCCGGTAGCCCAGCGAGCCAGTAGTCCGGAGGCTACAATCTCCGGTCGCCAGCTGCGCCAGTCGCCCGTGGGTCCGTTGCTCCTGCAGCCCAGAGTTAGTCGCGGAGCCAGTTACTCCAGTAGTCCGGAGGCTACAATCTCCGGTAGCCACAGTGCGCGCCGCTCCTGTTGCCCGTGTGTCTGCAGCTTCACCTGTCGTCTCCTATCTCTTCTCCTCTCACAGTCCCTCCTCCTCCTCACTTACCGTCTGTGACTGCCTCTAGCTTTGCTTATATTTGTGAACTATAAACTGCTACTTCTTGTACTTGTGCTCAGAATGTGTGGTGACTTTGTGATCCACCCTGAGCTTGTTTTGTTTTGTTTGCTGTGCTGATTACACCCCACTTTGGCTATGGGGGTGTGTCAGAATATGTTGTATTTGTCTAGCCTGCAGTGGGGTACTCAATAGTGAGTACAGCCCAATCTAGGGTTTCCTATATGTACTCAACTGCTTGCTAGTGAAAACCTCTCTTTCTCTCTTTCTCATTCCTAACTTCTCGTTTCTAACACGATTATAAGCGCACCCCCTGAAAAAACTTGTTTTATTATAAGCGCACGTAAACTTTAAATTTTGAAATGTGTTCAAAATGCTGTAACGATTTTTACTTTAGCAGGCGGATGTGTTGCAGATTCGGTTCCCTTCACATTCGGACCCTGCACTGGATGCGGGTCCAGTCAGCAGGAGCTGGATATGAGTCAGATTGGGTGTATCTCCCAGCGCGCGCAAGAATTTCACAGACGACCCCATGTAACTTCGACTCGATTGGAAAGGCAAGCACGAGATCTACAGTTTGGTGTTAAAAAATAGAAAAAATATGTCATTTTATAAACGCCGGCGCTTATAAATTTACTCGATTATAAGCCCACCCCCCTGAAAAAACCTGTTTTATTATTGCCCCCCATGGGGGTATATCCGGGGTATGACGGTACTCCTAAACCATCCACCATCCACCCACAACCACCCAGCTTCACCGCCCATATACAGTATTTCGTTTAAGTTAGTCAGGATGTTTTTTGCTCTTCTGCGGTGCTGCTATTCTCCATAGGCAGTGAGTGCAGCAAGAAATGCAGGAAAGTCCTCGCCACGGCATCCCCTACAGCCCCCCTCACAACGGGCTTCGTCCGCTTCTGCCCGCCCCAAAAGCACGAGTAATGATGATCCCCAGGACACGTGTCGCCGTACCGCGGCGCCTCCACGGCCCATGAATCAAACACCGACATCTCAGCGCCTCTCGTCACCGACGCCGCCAGCTGGCGCGCGTGCCGATTGGCCGCAGCCAGGTAGAGGTTCGTTGCGGGGCCCGCAAAACCCCTCTTGACCGCATAGTCCGAGCAATGCGAGCCGGCGTTCGGGACGGGCGGCGGCGTTCGGAAGACGACTCGCGCGCGGTTGGCACGGGCGGCGAGGAGCGCCCAGATGAAGAACTCGGGGAGGCGCGCGCGGAGGGCTTGCAGCGGCTCGGCACACCACTTGCCGGCCCAGTAGCCGCCCTCTATGACTGTGACGTTGGCTGTTGTGGAGATGTTGGGGAAGGTGTGGTAGTTGTGTGTGTACTGCCCTCTCAACCTGCACTCAGGGTTTGCGGGGTTTGGAATTGGGCATAAGGATGAGGTTTTGAGGGCTTTGAAGGAGCTCTCAGCATGTTCCACTTGCCCTCTATGACTGTGACATTGGCTGTGGTGGAGATGCTGGGGAAGGTGTGGTAGTTGTGTGTGTACTGCCCTCTCAACCTGCACTCAGGGTTTGGGGGGTTTGGGGGGTTTGGGATTGGGCACAGGGTTTAGGGTGAGGGTTTTGAAGGAGCTCTCAGCATGTCCCACTTGCCGGCCCAGTAACTGCCCTTTATGACTGTCACGTTGGCTGTGGTGGAGATGTTGGGGAAGGTGTGGTAGTTGTGTGTGTACTGCCCCCTCAACCTGCACTCAGGGTTTTGAGGGGTTTGGGATTGGGCACAGGGTTTAGGATGAGGGTTTTGAAAGGGCTCTCCGCACATCCCAACTTGCCGGCCTAGTAGCCTCCCTCTATGACTGTGACGTTGGCTGTGGTGGAGATGCTGGAAAAAGGTGTGGTAGTTGTAAGTGTACTGCCCCCTCAACCTGCACTCAGGAAGGGGCTCTTTGTTGAAATACAAAGCTACGAATGTTCTTTCCATCGACTAGTGAGGCATGCAGGCCGGCCTATTTAGAAACAAGTCGCCAGAATTTTGTGTGTGTGTGTGTGTGTGTGTGTTTGTGTGTGTGTGTGTGCGTTTTGTTTTTCTTCCATGAATCTTGAAGATCAACTGGGGCTGCTGTTCTTTCCACCAGGACTGGGGCTGGGGCACATGCATTTGTGTGGACAACTCGTCTGCATGAAACAAAGGGGTAAGAAGAGAGGGAGGGAACGGGGGCGAGAAGGAGGCCCCACACAGCTTCCTACTCACGATTCCTGTTAAAACCGCCCAGCCGTGACTCCCAGCCTTGAGACACCTCACAACTGTGCGAGGTTGATGAATGGAGGAGTGGGAAGCATGGTGAGAGAAGCGTGACAACTCACACGACTCCTGTATATGCCACAAGACGCTGTATTCACGATTTCTGTAAATGCCATCCACCCAGTAAACTTTTGAGTCGACTCAAAAGTCACCTATTCACGATTTCTGTAAATGCCATCCACCCAGAAGACGTTATACACAACTTTGAGATGCCTCACAGATTGTGTGAGGGTTTGATGATTGGAGGCGTGGGAAGAGTGGGGGGAAGGGAAGGGGGCACAGCCGTATTTACTATGTTCCTGTAGGAGTGCGGTAGCCACTTGTAGAGTAGAAAACTTTGAGACGTCTCAAAAGCCTCTTGCAGAGTAGAGAAAGGTTTCGAACCGCAGCAAGCCGTGGGTCTCCGTAATACGAGAAGCCATCCAGCCAGTAGAAGCTGCCTACCAGCTTTGAGACGCCTCAGAGCTTGTGAAAGTGGAGGATTGGTTCGTAAAAGAGGGGTGGGAGGAGCAGCAAAGGCACTCACACACAGTCGTATTCACGGTTTCTGTAGCTGATGCCATCCTCCAGTAGAAGTTGACTCGCAGCTTTGACACGCCTTAAAGCTTGTGAAAGCGGAGGATTGGTAAGGGAGAGGGGAGGGGACGAGGAGAGGGAGCACTCACGTGCAGCCGTATTCGCAGCTCCTGTAAATCCCATACACCAGTAGAAGTTGACTCGCAGCATTGAGACGCCTTCAAGCTTGTGAAAGTGGAGGATTGGTAAGGGACGGTTGGAAAAGGGAGAGGGAGCACTCACACGCAGCCAGGCGTATTCGTGGTTCCTGTGAATCCCATCCACCAGTAGAAGTTGACTCTCATAAGGGAATGCAGGAATGGTATAAGAGCGTTGGGAGCAACAAAAAGCACACTCATGAGCAGCCAGCCATATTCGAGGTTTTTGTGAATGCCATTCACCCAGTAGAAGTTGAATCGCAGCTTTGAGATAATGGAAGAATGGTGAGAGCGGGACGGGAGGAGCAACAAAAAGAGCACTCACGAGCAGCCGTATTCGAGGTTCCTGTAGATCCCATCTACCAGTAGAAGTTGGCTCGCAGCTTGTGTTAGGTTGATGAAAGGAGGAGTGGGAAGATTGGGGAGCAGCAAAGGCACTCACGAGCAGCCGTATTCGCGGTTCCTGTAGATGCCGTCCACCCAGTAGAAGTTGATTCGCAGCTGTTTGCCCGAGCGCTCATCCGTGACAGTGAAGTTCATGTCCTCGTGCGACCGCACCATGCGCTCGTCTGCAAAGCCTGGTGGCGGGGGAAAGAAGGAGGGGGGAGGAGAATGGGAGGGGAGAGTTGATGGAAGGGCATGGGGGACGAGGCTGCTTGCCCGAGCACTTGTCAGTAAGAGTGAATTTCATGTCCTCGTGTGACCGCACCATGCGCTTGTCTGCAAAGCCTGGTGGAGGGAGAGGGGAAAGAGTGAGGGGCATGGAAAATGAAGGTTCCACGTGTAAGCGCTCATCCGTGAGGGTGAAGTTCATGGCCTTGTGCGACCGCACCATGCGCTCGTCCGCGAAGCCTGGAGGTGGGAGAAGGGCGGTGGAGGGGGGAGGGGGGGTAAGGGCATGGGGAATGAGGGTGGTAGAGTGAGTGCTGATGGGTGAGAGTTCGTGACCACACCATGCGCTCGTCCGCGAAGCCTGTTCGAGAGGGGAGAAGGGAAGAAGAATGGAGTAAGGGAAGGCGAGGAGGGAAGGCGAAAGGAGTAAGCGGCATGGGGAATGGATGTGCCCTGCGGGGTAGCATCCACGTGTCATGTGGGTGGGTGGCAACTTCTAGTTCTCCGCGACCCGCGTCCTCACTCCCACACACCCCTGGGTTGCCTGCGAGAAGTATGGCCAAGGAGGAGGACTGATGGGTGGAAATAGGCAGCGGGGATAGAGTAGAAGCAGCAGAAACCGAACCCGACAGACAGGCACTCCAGGTGAACACAGTGGGTCTACACCACAGGTGGAACGAGAGCAACAGAGAAACGCACCTGAGAGGAGGTATCTCAGGAGAAACTAGAGCCACAGACACACACCTGACAGGAGATATCTCAGGTGAAAAGACAGCACGCGCTGGTGCGAGTCCCCCACAATGTTGATCTCCTGAATGCCTTTCCGCACCAGCTGTGCCACCCACCCTGACGGTCGTTTCGGCTCCTTGGGAGAGCACGGGTAGAAGCGCCACCTGTAAGGGAGGTTGATGGAGGTTAGTAGAGTGTGGGGGTGTTGGGGTGGGAGGAGGAGGGAGAGAGGGGGGACAGGGTGTGGGTGGTGGATGCATCCGTACTTATATTCCTACTTATCGTTTATCTGTACATATATTCCTACTTATCGTTTATCGGTACTTATGTTCCTACTGATCGTTTATATGTATTAATATTCCTTCTTATCGTTTATCTGTACACTTATTCCTACTTATCGTTTATCTGTAGTAATATTCCTACTTATCGTTTATCTGTACTAGTATTTCCTACTTCGTTTATCTGTACTATTATTCCTACTTATTCCCCCAATGAAGCTGTGGTGCCTAGCCAGGTGAAACGTCGTGAATCCGACTCTTCATGATCTTCCCATGCCCCTCTCCCATGCCCCTCTCCCATGGCCCTCTCACATGCCCCTCTCACATGCCCCTCTCCCATGCTCCTCTCCCATGCCCCTCTCCCATGCCCCTCTCCCATGGCCCTCTCACATGCCCCTCTCACATGCCCCTCTCCCATACCCTTATCCCATGCCTCTCTCCCATGCCTCGCTCCCATGCCCCTCTCCTGTGCCACTCTCCTATGCCTCTTCTTCATGCCTCTCTTCATGCCTTCCCAAACCCATGCCTCCCCAAACGCTCTCCCATGCCTCTCCCAAGCCTCTCCCATGCCTCTTCCAAGCCTCTCCCATGCCTCTCCCAAGCCTCTCGACTCACTCGAATCCGCTAGTCTTGGACAGCACCCATCGCCCCTTGATGCCTGACACCTGGCACGGCGTCATTGGAAGCTTCTCCTCCTCCTCTTCTTCCTCCTCCTCATCCGTCGCCCCCCCTTCCAGCAGCCTCCTCTCTTCCGCACCCCTCCCTTCCGTTCCTCTCCGTCTGCTCGTCTCGCTCTCCTCACTAGCCTCCTCCTCCTGCCACGTGCCACTCAAGAAGCGGCGAACACTGCTGCTGCTGCTGCTGCTGCTGCTGCTGCTGCTGCTGCTGCTGCTGCTGCTGCTGCTGCTGCTGCTGCTGCTACTGATTGTGTGTTTACTGATCTCGCTAGTTACAGCAGAGGCAGGGACGCTTTTATTGTTCCCGTTAGTGTTATAGCTGTTAGCTCCAAAGTTTAGAGCTTCCCCCGTGCCGGTGGCCGCAGCAGAAGCAGCAGCTGCAGGAGGAACGTTGGCTGTAGCAACAGCAGTCACAGCAGCAGCCACCGCAGTCACAGTTGCAGTGGCAGTGGTGGTAGCAAGGGTTGCAGTGTCAGTAGCAGAAGAGGCAAAAGGAGCAGCGGAGGTGGGAGGGAGAGCAAGAGAGCTGTTAACCCAGGCGGCGTCTCTCATTTGTGGCACGATTGTGACATTCCACGACGTGAGTACATGGAGGTGCGTCTGGCTCAGATGCTGCTTGTAGTTGGGAGAAAACCGCAGGTTGGCGCAGCCTACGCTCAGGAATGCCCTGGGAAGGGAGAGAGGAGACGAACACGTGAGGGGAACGGAACAGAGAGGCTGTAGATGAGACTCAGGTGCTGCTTGTAGTTGGGGCCGAACCGCAGGTTGGCGCAGCCTACGCTCAGGAATGCCCTGGGAAGGGAGAGAGGAGACGAACACGTGAGGGGAACGGAACAGAGAGGCTGTAGATGAGACTCAGGTGCTGCTTGTAGTTGGGGCCGAACCGCAGGTTGGCGCAGCCTACGCTCAGGAATGCCCTGGGAAGGGAGAGAGGAGACGAACACGTGAGGGGAACGGAACAGAGAGGCTGTAGATGAGACTCAGGTGCTGCTTGTAGTTGGGGCCGAACCGCAGGTTGGCGCAGCCTACGCTCAGGAATGCCTGGGGAAGAGTGAGAGAAGGTCGCATGGGGCGAAGTGGAAAAGGGAGGAACGGGATGAGGCTCAGGTGCTGCTTGTAGTTGGGGGCGAACCGCAAGTTGGCGCAGCCTACGCTCAAGAATGCCCTGGGAAGAGAGGAAACGCACTGCCGAGTGGAAGCTAGGGAGGGCATCAAAGGACAGGTTGACGCGCCTGTACTGCCCCACGTCCCAGAGGCGGTAGGTGAGGGCGAGCTGGGAGCAGGCAGGGGGTTCAGGTTAAACCATGCCGCCCTCTGCTGTGCCCCATGGCTGACGGCCTGCAGCAGGGATGACTGCGTACACCCGTTCCAACCCATGCACACCCATGCCCACCCCTTGGAATGTACCTGTACTACCTCACGTCCCAGAGGCGGTAGGAGAGGGCGAGCTGGGAGCAGGCGAGGGGTCAAGTAAGAACCACACCCGCTGCTCTGCCCCGTAGCTGCCTGCACCAGTGATGACTTACCCATTCCAAACCCATTCTGACCCATTCCCACCACTTCCCACCACTTCCCATCCCTTGGCACGCACCTGTACTGCCCCACGTCCCAGAGGCGGTAGGTGAGTGTGAGCTGGGAGCAAGCGGGGGGGTCAATTTAAGTCATGCCGTCTGCTGTGCCCGCATAGATGGCTTTCTGCACACTGACCTTACACCCATTCCAACCCATTTCCACCCATTCCCACCCCGTGGCAGTCACCTGTACTGCCCCACGTCCCAGAGGCGGTAGGTCAGGTCGAGTTGCGAGCAGGCAGGGGGGTCGAGGCAGCGCACGTCGCCGTGGGAGAGAGCGGGGCCCTTGAGGATAAGCGTCATGTCCTTCTTCCACCAGCTGGCGTTGGGGTAGATCTGAAGGGACGGGGGGGACAAGGCGCAGGAAAGAGAAAACAAGTGTGTGTTTAGAGCACAGAACAGTTCCATGGAGGAGGGAGAGAGCAGGGCCCTTGCGAATCAACGTCATGTCCTTCTTCCACCAGCTGGCGTTGGGGTAGATCTGGGGTGGGGGAGGTGGGGGGTTAATGGGAAGGAGGGACGTGTGTGTGCAGTGAACAGCACATTGCTATGGAAGGGAGCGTGAGGGACCGGAGGAGCGCCATGGCCTTCTTCCGCCAGGTCGCGTTGGAGGAGACTTGAGAGGATGGGAGAACGTGAAGTACCCACCTCCACCCATTCGATACCCTCCTGCACCCATTCGATACCCACCTGCACCCATTCGATACCCACCTGCACCCACCCCATTCCCACCTGCACCCACGCCATTCCCACCTGCATCCACCCCAGTCCCACCTGTTAGAAATAGTCAGTCAACACTTTGTACTATATTCTATATCGGTTAGGTTACTTTGTAGGTTGGGTGTAGATTTGTAATCCCAACCCTATCTGGTTGGGATTCCCTCGTAATCCTGCAAATCTGCCAACTCACCAATTGGAGATTTGCTAGGATTCCCATCCCATCCTTTCCCTAGTTTTGCTCAACCCAACCCTGTTTGTACTTAAGGCCTAGTGCCTTCCTTATCAAGCAATCAGTTCAGTTCCAATTCTATCATGGTATCGAGCTAGTAAATTCCGCTCACGCGGAATCCGATCCTTGGCGTCCCGATGGTTCTCTCCTTTTAGGCTATGCCTATTTCGGTTCCCGGCTCCTACGCTTAGCGTTTTTCAGAAAACTTCACATCGTCGCTCCGGTCAAGCGCGCATTCGGCTTCCTTCATCGCGCATCTCGTTTTTCAACGGCGACATTCTCAGCTTTCGACTTCCTTCATCGTAAGCTTCTGGTTTTTATATCTCCGTGACAATTTTCGCATCTTCTTAACTTCGAACAGGTTTTCAGCGGCGCAGCGGAACAGGTTCAGCGGCGCAGCGGAACAGGTTTTCAGCGGCGCAGCGGAACAGGTCCAGCGGCGCAGCGGAACAGGTTTTCAGCGACGCAGCGGAACAGGTTCAGCGGCGCAGCGGAACAGGTTCAGCGGCGCAGCGGAACAGGTTCAGCGGCGCAGCGGAACAGGTTCAGCGGCGCAGCGGAACAGGTTCAGCGGCGCAACGGAACAGGTTCAGCGGCGCAGCAGAACAGGTTCAGCGGCGCAGCAGAACAGGTCCAGCGGCGCAGCAGAACAGGTTAGCGGCGCAGCAGAACAGGTCAGCGGCGCAGCAGAGAAGCCGAACAGGGGCAGCAGCGAAGCAGAACAGGGGGCATTGGCGAAGCAGTATATCAGGGTATAGTACGGGCATTCTATTGCCAAAATCGCGTTTCGAACTTCCTCAATCACCCGAACTCCGCTCCGCTTCGCTCCGCTACGTATCGGAGACTTTAGCACTGCGCTCCGCGCGAAATGGCAACTTCAACTTCCACTCTCGTCGGAAACCTCATCATCCTTAACCTCGCTCCCAACGGCACGAGCACCAATTTCGGGGAGTGGTGCTGTGGAGTGGAGAAGCACCTCCTTAGCTCGGAGCTCAAGGGGATTTGCCTCAAGGACATCCTCCTCAATCGCGGCAAGGGGAAGATGCCTCTCCCTCCCGATCCTCTTGGCGAAGGCGCCATTGCCACAGCCAAGCTTGCTTTCGACGCTAAAACCACCAAGTATGAGACGGACTTCAGTCTCTGGGAGCAGGCGGATGCGGCAGTGATAAGGGTTTTCATCACCACCACCCCAGTCGAGTTAGTCAAGTCCTACCGCACCTTCCGCTCTGCGCATGACATTTGGAAGTACCTCCAGGATCGCTTTCATGACAAAACTGCCGTGGGAGTTGCAATCCTCATTCCTCGCATGTTCCAAATCCGCCTTGAGGAATGCCCGGGCATGGCAGACTACATCTCTGAAATCCGCAACATCCATGAGGAGCTCAAGGACATTGGGATCACCTTCCCCGAACAGGCACCTGCTGCTGGGCTTCTCGTCGGACTCACCCCGGCCTACAACGTCACCAGTTTCATGCTCAAGCAGCTCCCCACCAAGGAACTCACCTTCGAGAAAGTCGCTTCGGCCCTTCTCTCTGCCGAAAAGGACCTTGCAGCCCAGGCATCCGTCAATGCTGTGCGCTACTCCCCTGGCATCCCATTTCGTTCCCAGCAGGGCCAGAGGCGCAACTCCTTTCCCCCATGCCAGTACCTCATTAGGAAGGGTCCACGTGCGAGGCAGAAATGCAACGGCACCAACCACCCTGAGGCAACTTGCTTCAAGAAACGAGATGACGAGTGGTATGACGTCCACGGTGTCTCCAAGGACAAGCGCCCTCCCAACGGGGCACCACCCCGTCGCGTGAACCAGGTCGAGGCAGTGGAGGAACCTGCTCAGGCATTTGCTAGTGCCCCATCTGATGTTCGCCTTAACCTGTTGTTCTCTGGTGCTGGTCTTATTAATGAGAAGGGGTCGCAGTACATCGGTGTTTCAACCACACAGGGAATTGAGTTCATACTAAACAGTGGTGCCACCCACACAGTGCTTAAAGACCAAACTGCCTTCGTTCCCTACCAGGCTCCCACCTCACTTCTTGGAGCCGATTCTAGCTTCTCCATCCAATGCCATGGGTCCTCCACAGTTTCCTGTCCAGCTTTCCCATCCGGCACAGTCACTGGCATCTGTGCCCCTACCCTCCGCTACAACCTTCTTGCACAGCGGGAAATCCAACACGCAGGCGTGATCACCATCTTTCCCAATGATGTTGACTACTGTGACATGTTTGACGCCGAAACCGGACTCCATCTTGCCCGCTTCACCCTCAACTCCAACAACCTGTACACACTAGTTGTACCTCCCGTTCAAACATGCTCTCTCACCAACCTTCCGCTTCCATCCTCAGACTCCCCCTCATGTCACTGCCGCCTCCTCAATGACAAGACTATGCTATTTCATCACCGCCTCGGCCACATCAACTTTCGCGCACTTTCAGACCTTGCCACCAAACAACTCCTTCATGGGCTGCCCGCCTCACTTCCACAACCCCCTTCTCTTTCTGGACCACCTTGCTTTGACTGTGCACAGAGCAAGCTTCGGGAACAGCCCCATCCTCCCACTGAGTCCACCTCTACCGCACCTCTTGATCGCGTACACATGGACCTTTGGGGTCCAGTTCCTGTTCGTTCCCGTGGCGGACACTTCTACTTCCTTGTCATCGTTGATGACTATTCCCGCTATGTGTCCGTTCACCTTCTCACCGCCAAGTCTGAAGCCCCAGCCATTATCATGGAATGGGCAAGGCAGGCTCATTCACACTTCACAACCAAAATCAAGATTCTTCACTCTGACGGTGGCGGTGAATTCCGCAACAACACTCTCAAAGCTTTCTGCTCTACTGAGGGTATTCGTCAGACCTTCACCCTCCCAGACAGCCCTCAACAGAACGGTGTTGCTGAGAGCCGAAACCGCATCCTGGTGCAGATTGCTCGCTGCCTCCTCACTCATGCTTCCGCCCCTCCCTCTCTTTGGGGATACGCCATGCTCCATGCTGCCGCCCTCCACAATCTCCATCCTCATCCTCACCACACCCACACCACCCCCGCAGAGCTGTGGACGGGTCAAAAGCCGTCCGTCCGCCCTCTTCGTGTATGGGGGTGCACTTCCTATTTCTCCTCAACTCCCAAGCCCGTCGTGCAGCTGGCGACAAGCTTGCTCCGAAAACAATCACGTGCGTGTACCTCGGGCACAACTCGGACTCGCCAGACTACCTCTTCCTCCATCCTACCACCAACAAACTTTATCGCAGCCGAGATGTTTTCTTCGATGAATCCCACCCGTTCTACCCCTCCTCCACAGTTTCTCCTTCTCCTCCGCCTCCTCTTACTTGGGCTGACTTTGACAGCCTTCCTCCTACCACCACTCCATCTCCTCCTCTTCCCGCTCCCTCCACAGTTTTTGACCCTCCGTCACCCACTTCCCCTTCCAGCACCACGCAGTCTCCCCCGCTCCTTCCCGCCCCCGAGCCCATTCCTCTCAAAACCTACCAATGCCGTCCTCCTGCTGCTGCTCCTCCTCCTGATCCAGCTCCTCCTCCTGATCCAGCTCCTGCTCTTGATCCAGCTGTTGTTCCTGATGCTGCCACTACACCTGCTGCTTCTCCTCCTCCAGCTCCGCCTCCCTCCCCCATCGCTGGTCGCACCCGCTCGCGCAAAGCTCCCAAGCCTCTTTCCCTTTCCATTCGTGTCTCTCTCAATCCTCCTCCTGTCGGGGGTGATTATTCGCTCATGCCCTCCCTTCTTGAGGACAGACATGAGGAGTTGATTGAGATTGACTCAGCCATACACGCACTCTGCTCCCTTTTTCCAGATATCGCAGAATCTCCCACCCTCAACTTCTCGGACAACCCCTCCATCCCCACACCTCTCACCTATGCTGAAGCAGTTTCTGGTCCTCACGCCGCTCAGTGGCTAGGGGCCATTGTCGCAGAGTCTGAGGCCTTCATTCACACAGGAACTTTCACAGATGTCTCTCCTCCCTCCGGCGTCAACATTGTGAAGGGAAAATGGGTTTTCCGGGTGAAACAACTTCCATGCGAATTTCCCGTCTTCAAAGCCCGGTACTGTGCCAAGGGATTTACCCCAAAGCATGGACTGGACTTCTTTGAGACATTCTCTCCCACCGCCAAACCTCCCACACTGTGCACCCTTCTCGATGTTGCCGCTCGAGATGACATGGAGGTTGACTGCATGGATGTGTCCTCTGCGTTTCTGCAAGGGATCCTTCGAGAGAAAATCTACATGGAGCGGCCCGAAGGATTTCCAGCTCCTTTTCCACCAGGCACTGTATGGAAGCTGAATCGACCAGTCTATGGCCTCAAGCAAGCACCCCGGGAATGGCACAACAAGCTCAAGAGCACTTTAGGGTCCCTCGACTTTCACCCATCCACCTCTGACCCCAGCCTCTTCATCCGAGCAACACCATCCCGCTTCTTCATCTTGGTTTATGTCGATGACATGATCCTTGTCACCAAGGATCAGACTGAGTTGACAGCAGTCAAAACCGCACTTGGTGAGAAGCTGGCTATGAAGGATCTTGGGAAACTGACGAACTATTTGGGCATGGAAATCACACGTGATCGCACGGCCCGCACCATCACCCTCTCGCAAAAGTTCTACATCAACAACGTTCTGACCAGGTTTAAGATGCAGGAAGCAGCTTCAATGCCCACCCCACTCTCTCTGCAGCACCAACTCACTGCACCCTCTGTTCCCTCACCTGAGCCCTGTGATGAGGATTACCCCGAGCTCGTCGGTTCCCTCATGTACGCGATGATGTGCACTCGACCAGATTTGGCCTATCCAGTCAGTGTCCTGTCTCGCTGCGTTGCACCTGGTCGCTTCACGAGCCACCACTGGTCTGCCGCCAAGCGGGTCCTCCGCTATCTCAAAGGCACACAGGACTATGTGCTCACTCTTGGCGGCTCTTCCCCTATTCGCCTTGAGGGGTACAGTGACTCGTCCTATGCTGATGACCAGAGTGATCGGCGCTCTTCCCAAGGATATTGCTTTACCCTTGGCAGTGGGGTTGTCAGTTGGCGCTCCACTCGGTCGTCTTCCGTCTCACTGTCGACCTGTGAGGCAGAGCTGTATGCCGGGACCATGGCTGCCCAAGAGGCCCGTTGGCTCTCCTTCTTGATGGCAGAACTTGGGTATCCTCAACCAGCCCCAACGCTTTGGTGTGACAACGAGAGCACCATTCATCTCACAAAGGACCCCGTCTTCCACGGCCGCACCAAGCACATTGAGGTCTGTCACTACTTTCTTCGTGAGCTGGTGCAGCGCGAGCAGCTGAAGGCTGAACACATTGCCTCCGACTGCAACCTTGCTGACTTGTTTACCAAGTCTCTTGTTCGCCAAGACCACTACCGCCTCCTCTCGTCCATGGGTGTTGGGCCGCCATGTGGCTGAAGTGTTATCAGCCTAGGGGGTGTGTTAGAAATAGTCAGTCAACACTTTGTACTATATTCTATATCGGTTAGGTTACTTTGTAGGTTGGGTGTAGATTTGTAATCCCAACCCTATCTGGTTGGGATTCCCTCGTAATCCTGCAAATCTGCCAACTCACCAATTGGAGATTTGCTAGGATTCCCATCCCATCCTTTCCCTAGTTTTGCTCAACCCAACCCTGTTTGTACTTAAGACCTAGTGCCTTCCTTATCAAGCAATCAGTTCAGTTCCAATTCTATCACCACCTGCATCCGTCCTTTTTCCACCACCACCCATCTTAAACCCTGCAGCACACATCCCAAACCCACCTGCACCCAAGTGGCCGGGGCGTTGATCCAAACGCGCATGCCGCACTCCCTTCCACGCACACAGCGCGCACACCCCCTCCCACCCACCACCACCCCTGGGGGAAGGTGGTTGCGCGGAACCAGATGGTAGCCCTTCCATGGGGCTGATGGGGAGAGAGAAGGGGGAAGGGGAGGGTAGTAAAAGGCAGAGAGGACAGAGGAAGGGCGGAAGGGGGCGTGAAAGGGGAGCATTGGGGGGAAGGAGATGCGGAACATGACGCTATGCACACATACTCGCGCACACCCGCTTCCGCCCACCACCACCCCTGCGGGGAAAGTGGTTGCGCGGAACCAGGGTGTGACCCTTCCATGGGGCTGATGGGGAGAGAGAAGGGGGAAGGGGAGGGTAGTAAAAGGAAGAGAGGAACGAAGAACGGCGGAAGGAAACTAGAAGAGGAGGCAGGAGAAGGGCGACGACTACCCCCTCCACCCGTGCAATCCCACGGATTCTAGTTTTGAGGCGCCTCAAAACTAGACTACCTCCTGCTTCCCCTGTGCAGTCACACGGATTCCCGAAGCCTGAAATTCTGTGACATTCCACAACCCTATCACCAGCAACGGCTAGTAGGGTCAATCACCCGAGAGAGAAGGTCCAATGGACGTGCCCTACAGGCCTCTGAACCAAACCCCGAAGCCCAAACCCCAGAAACCTGTGGCTCACCCGAGGAAGTCCAACAAACGTGTTCGAGGCGCTCCTTTCGCCTTGGCGGGACCCCTGCCCCCATACGCCGCTTCCCCCTCTCAGTGCCATCCCCCGACTCCCAAACCCCAGAATCCTGTGGCTCACCCGAGGAAGTGTAACAAACGTGTTCAAGCTTTTCTTTCGCCTTGGCGGAACCTTTTCCCCCATCCGCCGCGCCCCCCTCTCGGTGCCGCCCCGCATCGCCAGATTCTCCCTGTCCGCGTCCGTGGCTGTCGCTCGCCGCGCCGCTGCCCCGCTCCTGCGACCCCGTTGCGTCGCCTGCGACGGCTGCTGGTCGCCCTGCGACGAGCTTGTCCGAGAGCGACCACTCGGACGAATCCAGCGATGCCTCCTTGGCGTCGGTGGCGGCGGAACTGCGAGTCGAATTCGGGAAGAAGTCGAGGAGTTGGGGGAAGGAGGGGAGGGGGGAAGGGAGTTGGGGGTGGTACGGGGTTTGGTGGTGGTCGGAGGGGGGAGGAGGGAGGGGAGGGGGGGGGGGAGGGAGGGGAGGGGGGGGGGGGGGGGGGTGTTGTTGGGGGGAAGGGGTGGTTCGGTTGGGGTTTGCGTGGATGGGTGGGTTGCACCTTCAACTTTTATTTGAAATTATGAACTTTAGGAACAGGGGGTAGTTTAAGGAGGAGGTGAAGGAGTGAAGATTTAGGGACTGGAGCTATGAACAGGACAACTTGTCTTATTTTGGGATGAAGCATAATGGATTCCGTTGACATCCCACAATGCGTCCCTCAAAGTTCCAATTGCACACGCCAGGCAAAAAATAGATAGGTTAGTTTTGTCGGACGGCCTACAGTTGCCGCCGTTCCCGTTACAAGCTGTTTCACTTACCTCTGTACAGGCACGTCCTTCCCTAGCGTCATCATTCCCTTTCCACCAGCGCTGGTCACGCCGCGGTAATCGTAACTTCTCGTGACGTAAGGCGACGCTTGCCAGGCGATTAAGAAGAGCAGAATTAAGTTTAGCAGAAGCACGTAATACTTCCGTATACCCTCCGGCATCGACTTCCATAGTCCCGAACCCGCCGCCAGTCCCGGTCCCGAGCCGCCAGTCGCCGGTGTTAATCCAACGGCTGGTCTTTTGGTTTTGCTATCGGATCCAGCGTCCGAGACGGTGGTGAAGCTTAACGGTTGGTCGAGCCGCGGCTTGCTCTGCTGCTGGCTCGGCTGAAACTGGCTTCGAATCCGTCGAAGAACCCACATCTTGCAACGTTCTATTAACAGTGGGGTTAGTAAAATTAGATTTTACGGCTGGAATAATTCGACGGTAGCACGAGCACGCAGGAGCAGCAGTACGAACCTCGCGTACTTCCCGAGGGTTTTTAGGACCGACAAAGCTTTCTAGAGGCACCTTAAGTCATTCAAGGTCGAATCAGACGTTACCGCGTATAATTTCAAGTAGCTGGGTTATTCATGAAACGAGTGTGGCTGGGAGATCAACTGGTCTAATCGGGTCGTAATTTAAAAGCCATAATGGCGTAAGCTGGGCCTGTCAGAAGGATTGCCCGGCCTACCGGATACCTCACTTATACCTGAAGGCGGTGGCCCGACTAGTAAGAGGACATTAGAACTAGCACTAGTAGCGGTTGGAGAACCGAGACCTAGACGACAACTGCGGTATCTAGTAGTCACGAGGGTAAGCTGTACGACTCGGCGGCCTCCTCCCGAAGGATGACTTAATCGCTTATTTGTTTCTCGTTTCTCTGGCTTATCACGGCTTCTCACAAGCGAGTCCGCGCTTCGAAATACGTGAGCACATCGGGAACGTCTAACGGACGAGCGTTAGGCGACCTAACTTGCTTGCCTCTTGCTACAACCCGCGTTAGGAAGTAGTAAACCGCTCGGCTTCTGAATATGATCCAACCATAGAGCACACTACAGCCATGCAGTCCCTAGTGCAGTGAGATACTACTACAGTACTCCATAAGACACCGCAGGATAGTATCCTTGACCAGGTTCCAGCGTTTCCCCTGTCAAACTGGTCTGGTGAAGGGCATCTTGATAGCGTCCTCGCAAAAAACTCTCGTGTGGTAACACTACCTTCGCCAACTCCAGCACTAGCCGTTGGGAGGGAAGGGGACTCTCCATCCACGTTCGATGGTGGAAAATCCAAACCAAACCAGCCGAATTTACCCCATCCGCGTCGCAAATGGAGGGGGAATTGGGGGAGGAACCGACCGAACCGAAACCCACAGATCCTTCCTCTCACTCAAACTCCCAAGTTTCCTCGCACGACGAGTCGCAAGGAACACAGAAATCGCCCTTCAGCTACGCGATTCGTCAGAGGACGTATACGCGTACTAGTGATATTCCATTTTACGTTTGAAGCATGGTGTACTCAGCACCAAGCTTGTGATGTGCCCACTATATCAAACACTAGCATGGTGAATGGTAATAAAGAACAGAGCTTCTAGACAATGCACATATATTCAAGAAGTGGTGATTGTATCAGTGTGATATGACATGCATGAATACACATCGTTTCATGGCCTATTTATACAAATCATTTGCACACACATTTTATTACCAAGTCCGCATTTGTTTTAAAACAAATGCAGCCAATTATGGCATGAATGATCAATCTTTTAAACCCTCAGTACCCTCCCTTTCCCCCATGCTCTATGTAATGAATCAAAGACCTGACAACAGCTTCCCCAACGTCCCCTCTCCCCCGTTGGGCACTGGCGGTGCCGCACGCACGATCAGCCGAACCCGGCGACTCGTGCTTGTGACTTCTGCCCTTGTGACTGCTCCCCTTGTGGCGGCGACGGTGGTGGTGGTGGAGCTTGTGAGGTTAACGCGTAACAGGCGTTCTGCCCTTTCAGCACCACCTGTTGCCCCAGACTGCCTGCTGAGAGCAGCTGCTGAATTCCCCCTAAGGCTGGCCCCGCTTGGTGCTGGAGAGAGAGGGGATGGGAATGCACCTGTTGTCAGGGAGGCTGCTGCTGCTGCTGCTGCTGCCGATTGACTGGCAAAGCCAGAACCCCTTGGGTCTGAACCAGCAGGAGAGGAATCAACAAGGTTGGTGGCGGATGCAGCAGCAGCAGCAGCGTCGGCAGCGGAGGAGGCTTGGGCAGCATAAGAAGCAGCAGCAGGGGCTGCAGCAGCGGCAACGGCTTGGGATTGGGCCCAGGCGAGGTATTCAGGGAGGTGGGTGCGGAGGGCAGAGAGCGGATGCAGACAACGCTTGCCGGCCCAATAGCCACTGTTGATGATGATGACGTCACTGGAGAGGGAGATGTTGGGGAAGGAGTCGTAGTGCTGCGAAAAGGCCCCTCTGTGCCTGGAGTGCGGAAGGGGGATGAGGAGAGGGATAAAGGTCATGAGGTGGTTATGTTGTTTCCAAAAGACAAGTCAAAGGTCCTAGACGTTGGGAAAGGGGTCATAGTGCTGCGACAAGGCCCCTCGATGCCTGTTCGGACCACAGTGGGGGAGGGATGGATTCGGAGGGCAGGGGGAGGGCGGTGGGAGGGGATGGGGATGAGATGGGATGGGAATGGAACGATGGGAGAGCGGAAGGAGTCTTAGAGCTGGGAGAGTGAAGGGAAGAGGGGGGTGGGCACAAGGGGCACTCACGTGCAGCCGAACTTGTCGTTGCGGTAGATGCCATCCACCCAGGAGAAATCGAACCAGAATGAGCAGAAGAGCAGAGAGCCGAAGAGAAAAGCAAGGAGCAGGTAACGGGATGGGCACTCACGTGCAGCCGAACTCGTCGTTGCGGTAGATCCCGTCCACCCAGTAGAAGTTAATCCGCAGCGTCTCGTTCCTCCCGTTCTGCGCCACAAACGCCAAATCGTGCCGCCCCTTCCGGTTCCTTAGGTCGGCCTCTCCCGACAGCATGTAGAAGAGGTGGGCGGCAAGCATGCGGTGGTGCGAGTCTCCCGCGATCGAGATCTCTCGGATGCCTCGGCTGGTGAGTGAGGAGATCCATTCACTCACCGGGGTCTCTGGAGGGGCACAGGAGAAGGGTACCCACTTCCATGTGTCTTTTCTCTTGCTGCCCCTACTACTGCGGCTGCCACTGGTACTGGCACTGGCGATGGCGTTAGCACTGTCAGCATCGTTTTCGGGATTGATTTCAAGCCATCTCCCCACAACTGACCCGCTGCAGGGACTACTGCTCCCCTTCTTCCCATCTCCTTCCTTTTCACCGTCTCTACGATTCAGCTGCGCCTCGTCGTCTTCCTCACCCTCTTCTCTGATCATGGATTCTCCTGTGATCTCCTCTAGGACACGTGGCAGCCCAGGAGAAGCCGATTCTGCTTGCAGCGTTTGAAACGCCACTGAGGAGTTTCCCTCTCTCTCCTCTTCGTTCGCTGCTGTTTGAGTTGACTTAAGATTGCCAGAGTCGTATCGAGGGGTGTGGGAAGCGATTGTGGAGTTTTCGAATCGCTCCTCTGCGCTGGCAGCCTCGCCTCCCACGCTCGACTGCCCTGCCGTCGCCAGGAGCAGCAGCCGGCGCGTAAAATCCTCGCTAGTGGTTGCTTCGTTAAGAGATGGCCGGCTGGTGGCTGCTGCTTCATTTAGAGAGGTGGGTGGTGTGCTGGGTGGGAGTGTGTGCGGCGATGGGAGGATTGTGATGGTCCATGCTGCCACGTCATGAGTGACGTCGGCATAAGAAGGGGAGGAGGAGGAGGAGGAAGAAGAGGAAGATGAGGGTGTAGTGAGGAGGTTGGAGCATCCTGCATGGAGAGAAGCCCTGCAACCAAGACATGAGAGGTGAGAAACGAAGGAGAGTGAAGAGAAGAGGAGCAGATTGAAGAGAAGCGAGAAGAAATGAAGTCAAGTTGAGGAAAGACGATAGAGGGCAACATTGGAAAACATAGGATGGGGCGTATGAGAAGAACATAAAAGTTGATGTCATGAGGAAAATGCATGGAAGACGAAAGGGGTATGAGGCGTGAGAAGAGGAGGTGAGAGGGGATTGCCGTAACCACTACCATAGCTTATCAAGCACCAACGAAACAACTTATCAGTCACCATCAGAACAACGTATCAATCACTTTCCGAATCAGCCTATCAACCACTCACCGGTACGTCCCGGCATCCCAGGCTCGGTAAGCAACGACGAATCGGGAGCAGGCGGGAGGGTCGGCACAGACAGGGTTGACGTGGAGCAGCGAGGGGCCGGTGAGGGAGAGAGCGAGCTCTCGCTTCCACCAACTCAGCACGGACGAGTTGGCAGCAGCGGGTGGAGCAGATGGTTGAGAATCGCTTAGCATGGATCCGTTCGAGGGATAGCTGAATGGTGATGCTGTGGCGGTGGCGGTGGTGGTGGTGGTGGTGGTGGTGGTGCTGCTGCTGCTGCTGCTGCTGCTGCTGCTGCTGCTGCTGCTGCTGCTGCTATCATTGCTGGTCGCGTCAGCAACGGGAGGGAGTGTCCACATGGCGCCTGGCGGTTGGACGCTGATGAAGAACGTGCAGGTCTGCCCTGCAGTGCAGGTGGAACAACCGCTGCCGTATACAGACAGTCCGCCTTGCGTTATAGCGGGTTCTGGTGCTGCTTGTAACGAGGATGTTGGCTCTGCTGACGTGGACGTCCAGCAGAGCGGAAGATCTGGAGTGCGGGGAACCCATGCGATTGATGGTAACACGTCATCATCAGTAGATGCTGTGTCATAACCTGCCGCAGCACTGTGCAGCTTTACTGCCACGTCAGCATCCAGAGCACCAGCAGTTGCGTTGTCAGATATGCCGCTGCTAGCCACCACATTTGACGAATCATCCGACGGCTCAGATTTGCGCGTCTCATAAGGAGTCAGAATCAACGGCTGCGTCTGTAGCGCGGGCTTTCCCCGCAGTTGCTGCAATGCCGGGGTCGATACTAACGAGCCAACGTTTGGCGAGATCTGGTGTGACTGAGACAAGTGTGACTTTGGCGGGCGGAAATCCGCGTGAATCGAGTCCGTTATTAGCGAGGATGGAGAGGGAGGGGAGGCTTGCGGTTCCGAGGCGGGTGGCCAGGCGAAGAAACTGCACACACAGGGGGGGAGGATGAAACGAAAGGAAAGAGGGGGACGGAGGAAGGAGAGAGGGAATGGGGGAAACGGGAGGTTGGGAGATGGGGAAAAAGGGAGGGTAACGAGGACGAGGGGAAGTCCGGGAATTGACGCGGGGCCGGGGGGAGGGGGGGCAGGGGAAAAACTGCGCACACTGGGGGTCTTGCGATGAATCTTACAAAGGAACGACGGCGATTTCGATGAAAACGAAACGGAAAGGAGGCACATGAATACCCCTGGGAAGACGAGTCTTGAGTCGCTTTTGAGAATTCTCAAGTTCCCTCGAAAACACGTGAGTGAAGCTTGATGAAGCAACTGCCGAGCGCACATTCTAGCCACTCTTACCACTCTCTTCCACTCCTAACCACCCTTATCGTACGCATGCACCTTATAAACGCCTTCGTTCGTGCCTGTGTCCATACGATCGTACGTACAGCCGTACGTACGCACGAATCTACGCACCTCGGGAGCCCGTCCGCGCTGCTCTCAAGTTTCATCTCCTCGAGATCCGCGACGGGCGGTCGGCTGCTCCAATCACCTTGCGACACGTGGCGCCACAACTGCACGGCCACCAGCGCCACTAAGAGGAAGTCGATCAAGAGGTAGTGCCAGCGGCTCCGAACGACATCCACAGCCAAGTCGCGCAGCGCAGCGACGCTCTTGGCGATCAATCTCCGCACGCGCTGTCTACCTTCCCGAACGCCGCGTTTCGCGTCTCGAATATCTCGAGTATCGTCGTCTCGACTATCGTGGTTTAACCTGTCAACCTCCATCTCCCTGAATACTCTTAATACCTCTGTTAACCCTGCGGACTATTCTTTCTGCCCGCAACTTTTACGACTTCTCGTGAAACTTTTCCTGCGAGTACTTCTTTCCAAAGTACGCGCGACCGACGGCGGCGAATTTCTGGCTCAATCTTAGCAACGGGAAACAGGAACGAGAGAAAAGTGTGCGGCTGGCTCGTGTGGTGGATCGGACGAACGAGTGCTCGCCGAGCGTCGATGTTTCCGACGGTGATAAGGAACTTCGAACGCGCTTCCTATTGTTTTCTAGAGGGATGTTCGAGTTCCAACTAAATTCGTTTCAGACTACTATGGGTAAACAGTACTCAGCGCGCCTATCTACCTTGTTTGAGAATCATGGTGGAGAGAAGAAGCTAACGAGGTAGGCGCCGCGGGGTATATGCACGAACGGTACGGACGAAAGTCGGAGCGGCGTTTTGTGTCTCGGAATGCGTGGAAGCATAACAGAGCTGCGGGCGAGCTTCCAAGTAACTGAGGCATTCATCGCACGGGTACCACTCGCAAGTGCACTCAACGGGACCTCCAGGGCGTTCAGTGAGTGAACTTCCACTGTGTTCACGATGTTGTGATGGATTGTAGGGATGATGATAGCCATGACTCACAGATCACGTCATAATTAACGACTCCACAAGTCATTTCTATCAGCACCATTTCTTTTCACACATGCCCCGCCTTCAGCAGGCTACCGCATGAAACACAATTGGGAGTCACCACAAACACGTTAGGACAAGTGAACCCAGCTCAATCAATATAGATCCAACGTGACCGACTTGAACCGCGTTATGAGTCCTTGACCACATTTTCCCGATTTCTTATCAAGAAGCGGCACAATTTCGCGCACCGACGAATTTGGGAATTGGGGCTCGCGCGACGCGGGAGTATGAGCCCGCCATTGTTGTGTTCGTAACCGAGACGCGCTCGTGACTTTGATGGCTGAATGTGGTAACTTGTGGAAAGATCCTGTTAGCGACATACACTTAAGGGTAGCCCTTTTTCGTGAATGCAGTAGGTGTAACAAGGCTTCGACCCCAACGGACGAAAGCGCACGAACAAGGAATTCTGGTGACCCTCATTGCACTGAAACTCGTTTGTAAACACACCACGTTATATGATCCCAACTACAACCACAAGCAACGCCAGGAATCAAGATACCTGTAAAACTAATAATGAATCAAGTTACACAAGACTCTTACCATAACTATATAAAATTGTAAGAACATTATCAATAAGCACCCTTTCCTCTTGAAAGCAAAAATCTCCTAACAAATGTACACTTTCTAAGCAGAACCTGTACCACTCTCAATAGGCAGCTTACTTGAAGAACCCTTTCCTCTTGCCAAAGAACCCCTTGCGTTTGCCATGAAAATGACTTTTGTGCTTGCCATAGTAGCCCTTGTGCTTCCTCCCCTTGTACTTGTGCTTGTGGTGGTGGTGGCCCATATGTACGTGAGCCACATGACCACCTGCATCTCACCACCACACAAAACGACACACAGCAGTTAAAAGACTGTGGAGACACACACAAGCGGCCGACACATATCCCCCCAAGGCAACACGGAAGAGAAAAATAACACGTTCAATCCAACCCTAACGAGCACCAATCTCATCTGGAAAATCAGGGAGTCCACTCCACTGTCAACCTTACCTGGTAGCTGCAGGTCGTTAAACACTCAGGGTGGTGAATCCACGTCTACAACTACATTCCAACCTTAACAGCAACAGAATTCAGTTTACATTCCGCGCAATCCACGGTTCAAACTTTCAGGCTCACCTGGGTAGCCATGAGGTGCGGGGAACGCAGAACCAGACGGATATCCGGCAGGCGGATAACCCTGAGGGGGATAGCCGGCGGGCGGGTAACCCTGTGTTGGGTATCCCTGAGGGGGGTAGCCGGCGGGTGGCGGATAACCCTGTTGAGGATACCCTTGAGGGGGGTAACCGGCAGGTGGAGGCGGGTAACCCTGCTGCGGAGGATAACCGCCTTGCGGAGGAGGGTATCCTCCTGGGTAACCCTGCGGAGGCGGATAGCCGTGAGGATACCTTGGATCTGCAGAAACGGAACGCGCGTACACACATGGACGGTCGTCTTTTGAAAACCACTAAGGAAAACCGACTTTAGAACACCAGGATTTCACAAAAAGACATGACCAAAAATGATGGAAATAACGTCAATCTAGAATATCCATCCGAGAGACATCTAATAACGGCTTCTTACCCGACATGACGCTGGGAGATGCCGGATCAGAAACCAGTTATGACTGCCGCTTTAGCTCAGAACATGAGCCGAATTTCCAGACTAAGAGTTTATGACACACAGGACTGCCTTCATTCAAGCAGACAAGAACAAAGCTCCATGACAACCTCTCATCCAGGGAGGCAAATTGGGAGGCAGTGGTTTGAATTCGTCTGGTTGCAGAGAACCGCCAGAAAGGGGAGGGACGGGACTAAGGACTTGTTCGGTAAGCCCCCCAATCGCACTGCAGATAGGTCTTGGCAGGTTCCGGAGGCCAATTTTTGTACTGTCTTCAATTCCAAAAAGAGTTGAGGGGCAAGGACTCTGCTCGGCTGGCTCTCAAAGCCTTTGCTGCAGCCCCGGAGGAGTGGAAAACCCTGCTGATCCCCAACGGCACGGCTGGAGGAGGAGGGGAGAAAGAAGCGGTTACAGCGGTGACAGCAGGGGGGTGTCGCGGGGCCACGGCTTCAATTTTCCGGTCAGCAATTTTTGACGGAGAGCGAGCAGCTTCTCTGAAGCGGATGAGGGAGGTGTGGACCAAACCCGATGCAGTCCTAACGAAGCAGGCAAAGTGGTCTGGTCGATGGTGCGGCAAGATTGACTGGCAGCGAATCATTCGCACACGCAACTCGCTGGCCATCCGAGAGATGTCCTCACACGGGTGCATAACCTGAACCTTCAGGTCGGGGAGCGAGTTGATTTTCTCAGCTGCAAGCCAAAATGCCCATACTGCGGAGTGGAGGAAACGCACGAACACTGTCTTTTCTCCTGCCCGAGAATTCAGCCAGTTGTCTCAGGGCTCCGTCGCGCTCTGCGCATGCTCAATCCAGGGAGGACAACTGCCTCGCTGGGGGACCTCTTGTTCCAGGAAACCGGAACGGCGTCGGATTTCCCGGAGGCTACCCTCACATCGATTACTTTTCATCAGCTGTGGGTGGAGAGATGTGAAGCAACTTTCCGAGGGCAGAAATTCAGAGCCCGGAGGGTTCTCAGGAGGATTGGGTCGGCTTTTAGGCTACACGCGAGAGTGTACACGAGAGTAATGGGTGCCAAAAGCTTGCGGCCAGGGACATCAGGGAAGGGAAAACGGGTCAGGAGTGTTTTCGAAGCGGAGCAAAAAATGCTGGCGAGGATAAGGGAGACAGGTGACAAAAAATGGAAGTGGTCGACAAACTTCGCTGCTATCTGGAACAAGCCAAAGCGGGCGTTCCTGCCGCCCTAGATGCATTACTAGGCAGTGCATGGTGCAGTGCCCTCACGCTCAGTTACGACTGCTTTTGATGTAGGCATTGTCCTCATAAATGTATATATAAAAAAAAAAAAAAAAAAAAAAAAAAAAAAACTGTCTTCAATTCCCAAACATCGATGTGGGAATACCGAACCTTGCCAGTGCGAATTGGATATCGAATGGATCAAATTGTCACTCGAACTGGGACCTAACTCGGGCACTGTTCGGTAGCCCTCCTACTTATTCTCTGGTTAGTGCGGGGCAGTTTCCCTGCCACAACATTTGGGTATTTGGGACGCGGACACTCCCACCACATTTGCGTGATCGATCCGCTGCAGTATCGGGTTTTAAAAATGTCAGAAACGGTTTAGATTGGTAAGCACATGTTTCCAGTGCGGTGGCAGATCGACCAATCGCCGAAATCGACGCGAGTGTCCGTTTCTCCCATCAGTTCGATTCACCTTGTCATCAAAAGGTAATCGTCCGCAGAAACACTCGCTTTGCCAACAATCTGCGGAGATAGTTATTCTAAGGGAGAGCTGAATTGAGTGGGACGCTCGGTCAGAGTTATGGCAGTGATTCTTGACAGAGTGTTGAAATGCCTTATAGAATTCAAGCATAGTTTCATTAGGTAAAGTTGATACATCAAGATTATTGTTAGAGTGAGGACCTTGGATAGGATAGGAGGTACTTTAGTAGAGTTGGTAGCG